ATCGCTCAGTCGCTTCTGTAGGGTTTTAATGCTCTCCCTTATCATGCCTGAGTGATTGGCATAGAAGCAACAAGCCTCTCCAAGCGCTGCACAGAGGCCTCCCTGTTGGAGAAATAACAAGTCTAGCCCTCGCCGGTTCTGGAGGACTACCTCCGCCAGGGAGTCCAGGGCCCTCTCTAGGTGGCTGATTTGATCTTGAATGAGCCTGATATCTTCTGAGAACTGGACTGATAGTTTCTGAATCCCAATCTGGCCAGTGGTCAGGGCCGCAGCGCTAACGGCCGCTGTACCGGCAATCCCTAGCCCAGCAAGCAATGGGACTAAGAGGGGGGTTCTTTTCTGAAGGCGGAGATGGGCTTCTGGGGATAGGAAATGCTTCATTCCGGAGGGGCCAGCATAGATATAGACCTGGGGGATTACATATACTAATATGCAGAACCAAGGCTCTCGGCTTCTGTCAGTTACCAGACACCGAGTCAATCCATAAGTGCAAGCAAACCAAACCCCTTCAGGGGCAATCAATACCTGGGTGTTGCGGAAAATTTTCATGCTGCTATTACAATTATGGGAGAAAGGGGAAGCTGACAAGGAGTAATCTCCTCCTATGAAACAGGACCCTTCCCCTTGGAGGTCCCCCAGGGTCAATGAGGCCGCTCCTCCTTCCAGGCAAGTTGCTAGATCAGCGAGATGCTGATCACTAAGGGTGGTGTTTTTCACTTCCCCTTCCCCTGTTCCTATTTTTAGGCTGGCAGCCAGACCTACATAGTAAGGGGGTGAGGGATTTAAGCATAACCAGCAACTATCGGTGGTTGCTGGGTTGGAGCTATTCAGGAGAGTAAAAACTGAATCTAGAGTCCTCATGAGTCTGGCCTGTGGGACAGGAACAGGAGGGATGGTGTTTCTTGGTTTCCCCCCAGTGGGTTGAGGAATTGTTGAGGAATTGTGGCCCCGATCAGGTTGACCTGCGGTGGTGGTGGGCCGCGAGAGGCTCCTTGTGGGCTGAGGTGGAGGTCTCGGTCTGGGCCTAGGCAATGCTTGGGGGTTTAACATTCCATTTGGGCCTATGGGAAGCCGGGGCTCTTTGGCTCTCATCTTTTGGATAGTGAACAGAGTTCCTAGGTCAGTGCCTGCTATATATAAGCGGAGACCCCAAGTCTTTCCTGTAGGCCAAAATGGGCTTTCTCCATCTCGGACAGTCACGACCGTTGGATTACACTGAGACTGTACATTTCTCAGGCCTTGGGTCAATCAGCCTGGCAAACTTAATGTCCGGGTCTCCTTGTTTCCAGTGTGCAAAAGTCTCACAACCTCATCGGTGACAATAAAAATCCTTGATGTCCCCACACTGGTGCCGCCCTTTTCTCTCTCTGGACATCCATAATGCTGAGTGTGCCATAGCTGCCGAGCTACGTACATATTCTCATTTCCATATGAGGAACACGCTACCCTTCCCAGTCCTGACATGACTATGCTCCCCCCTCGGGCCCTAAGGCCCAGTGCATCACAAGGCTCATCCCCAAAGAACTGGCTCAGGTCCGCTCGGAGACTGGGGGTTGTAGAGTAGGTGGTATTCTCGGCTAATGTGGTTCCATCGGTTGTGCGAACCAACACCCACCTGGATTGGAGGGGAACTGTTGCTCCTCCCCAGCCTACAATCAAAATCAGGGGTACTGTCCTGACCCACCATCTCGAGTCAATTTGACTTTTAAGGGGTCTGAAGTAGTTTCTACCCGCCATGTCCCGTTGTCGTCCTGAGGCGGTGCTTTCTTCAACCAGGTGTGGTGAATCCAGGCAATCTTTCCCGTCACTCGAGCTGCTGTCGGTGTGCTGATGATACCCTGGTTGGGTCCCTCCTAGCGGGGTGTCAGCTGCGCGGGGTTGATCTTCTTCACGTAGACCAGGTCACCAGGAGTAAAGAGCAGCTTCTCCGCTGTGGCTGAGTCTGGATTCGGCTGAGACTCGTTCAGTGCTGCTCGACTCTGGGTTCGGGATGCCTGCAAAGCCTGCAAAGACTTAAGCAAAGTTCGCTGTTTAATGCCAGACAGGTGCTCTAGCCCCAGGCGGGGTACAATGGGTGGCTTCAGCCCGTATAAAACTTCAAAAGGGGAGTACCCTTTCCTGCCCGGAGTGCATCTTACCCGGAGGAGGGCTTGAGGAAGCAAACTCACCCAGCTGCCACCAGTCTCTATTTTCATTTTGGTAATTGCTTCCTTTATATTAGGTCTAGTAATAATTAATGTCGTTTTCTAATACTTTTTTAAATCGAATTTATTTAAACAATACAACAAAATTTAATCAACAATATAGTTGCCATTGTTTTCTACTACTTGTGCCCAATGCTCAGGAAGCATTTTAATCCCTCTGTTGTAAAATTCTTGTGATTTTGATGCAAAAAATTCGGTCAATGCATTTTTGAGGCATTCTTCATTATTAAATTTTTTTCCAAGAAGAAAGTTTTGCAAAGAACAAAACAAATGGTAATTGGAAGGGGCAATATCAGGAGAATATGCAGGTTGAGGGAGAACTTCCCATTCCAACTGGCGCAGTTTTTCAGCAGTGATTCTTGCAGTATGCGGTCGTGCGTTATTGTGGTGAAGAATTACGCCCTTCCGATTAATCAGCGCGGGTTCTTTTTCTCTTAAAGCTTGGGCTAACCTTTCCAATTGGGCACTATACACTGCACTTGTAATGGTTTGGTTAGATGGTAAAAGTTCATAATGAAGAATTCCTTTAAAATTCCATCAAACACACAACATCACTTTTTTTCGCATGCAAGTCAGGTTTTGGCTTGGGCTGCGGAGCCTCATTTTTGTCCAACCATTGAGGCCGCCTTTTCAAATTAACATACAGCACCCATTTTTCATCTTCGGTAACAATTTGCTCTAAAAACGGCAAACAGTTTTGACGAGAGAGGAGCGAATTGCAAATTGTGACTCTTTGATTACGGTTGTTGTCAGTCAACTCATGAGGAACCCATTTTCCAAACTTTTGGACTTTGCCAAGTGCACGCAATTGATTGGAAATTGTTTTTTGTGAACAATTGAAAGTTGTCGCAAGCTCTTGTTGGGTAATTTGAGGATTTTGCACCAAAAGAGCTTGAAGAGCTTCTTGATCAAAATTGGACACACGGCCTCGACCACTCTTGTCATCTAATGAAAAATTTCCCTCGCGAAATTTCTCAAACCAACGCTGGCATTTTCTGGCGCTAACTGCATCTTGACCAAGAGCACTACAGATGTTTTTTGCAGCCTCACTTGCTTTTCTTCCTAATTGGAACTCGTAAAGCATGCAGTGCCGAATATGCTCTTCATCTGCCATCTTCTTAGCCCTAGTTTTGCAACAAAAACCAAACCAAACACAAACTTTTTCAAGCAAAACTTGTTAATTGCACTTCACACGTTCTGTAGATACCACGTGTTTGAAGGTTATGTCAATACAAGTCAACACCAAGCAAGATTTTAAACGAATGTTTAAAAACGACATTAATTATTACTAGACCCGATAGTCCTGTTTACTCTCTCTACCTGTCCTGAACTCTGAGGGCGATAGGCACAGTGGAGTTTCCACGTTATTCTTAATGCCTCAGCCAACATCTGAGTTAATTTAGCTATAAAGGCAGGACCATTATCTGAGCCTAATCGGAGGGGTAGTCCGAATCTAGGAATTATTTCATTAACTAAGTGCTTTAAGACTACCTGGGCTGTCTCTCCCCTCGTAGGGAAAGCCTCTACCCACCCTGAGAAGGTGTCAATGAATACCAGGAGGTACTTGTGACCTCCTCTAGCTGGAGTCATTTCAGTGAAGTCGACTTCCCAGTGTTCTCCTGGCTGCTCACCCCTCAGGCGGGCACCGCTTCCTTCAATCCGAGGGCTAGGGTTCGCATTCACTGTGGCACAAACGGTACACCTCTCAGTTACGTCTTGTGCCATCCTGTATATACCTCGGATCAAGTAGTGCTTTCTTATCAGTTCAGCCAGCTTGTTCTCTCCTAAGTGGGTAGCATGATGCGTTTGCTCCACTATCTGCCTCCCCACTGCTTTTGGGAGTAGCACTCTCCCTTTTGGCAAATGATACCAGCCGTTTGAGGACTTAGTCCCCCCTAGCTTCCTAGCCAGTTCATCATCTTCCTTTGAATATGAGGGGACTATGGCTGGCTGGTCTTCCTTGACCGGGGAGGGGGTGACCGATAATGCATGTGCCTGCCCCTCCCGGGCCACAGGTCTCGCTGTTACATCCGAGAACTGGTTCCCTTTTGCCTCCAAGGAATCACCTCGTTGGTGGCCCTTACAGTGTATCACGGCCACCTTGCGGGGTTTCCACACGGCCACTAGGAGGGATAATATTTCTGCTGCATGTTTAATGTCCTTTCCTCCGGCCGTGAGGAGGCCTCTCTCCTTATAGATGGCCCCGTGCACGTGAAGAGTGGCAAAAGCATACCTGCTATCAGTGTAGATGTTGAGAGCTTTTCCTTCTCCCCACTCCAAGGCTTGAGTGAGGGCTATTAACTCGGCCTTCTGGGCGGAGGTACCTTGTGGTAGTGCCTGAGCCGAGATCACAGTGTCCGAAGTGACAACGGCTGCACCGGCCACTCTCCGTCCAGGAGGTAGCTGCTGCCATCTGTAAAAAGAGTCACCTCGGCATCCGCTAGGGGTTGGTCTTTCAGGTCCGGGCGGGTAGTGGTTAGGGTGTCCAGATAATCCCCACAGTGGTGAAGAGGCAACGTCCCGTCCGTCTCCGGCAACAAGGTGGCAGGATTGAGCGCCGATGTTTGGCGGAATTGAATGCGGGGAGGGTCTAACAACAGTACCTGATACTGTGTGATCCGGGCATTCGTCATCCACCTGTCCGGCGGGGTGCGGAGCAGCCCCTCAAGGTTGTGGGCTGAAGTCACCTCCAGGTTCTGGCCAAACGTCAGCTTGGTGGCTTCTCGCACAAGGAGGGCAGCTGCTGCAACAGTTCGTAGGCACCCTGGCCAGCCAGCGGCAACAGGATCCAGTCTCTTAGACAAGTAAGCCACTGGCCTCTTCCAGGGTCCTAGAGTTTGGGTGAGCACCCTCTTTGCCACTCCCTGTCCCTCGGCTACAAAAAAGCTGAAAAGGCTTGTCCAGATCAGGTAGGCTGAGGGCCGGGGCTTGAAGGAGGGCCTGTTTAAGAGTTTGGAAGGCCTCTTCCTCCTTCTCTGTCCAAATTAAAGGTCCTGCTCCCCCAGCTGTAGCTGTGTGGAGGGGCTTAGCCATTTCTGCAAAGCCTGGTATCCACAGGCGACAATAGCCCACAGTCCCTAGGAATTCCCGGACCTGCCGCTTAGTCTTCGGGACTGGTATCTGGAGGACTGCTTGGACTCTGCTCTCTGCTAAGGACCGAGCCCCTTCCTTTATTCGGAAACCCAGATAAGTAACTTCCTTGCTGCACAATTGGGCCTTTCGGGCGGAGACACGGTATCCTTGTTCACCCAAGGTCCTTAACAAATCCTCAGTCACCCTAATGCACTCGCTTTCTTCCTTGGTTGCCACTAGGAGGTCATCTACATACTGAAGGAGTGTAGCCTCAGGGTGCCTGGCACAGAACTCTTGCAAATCTCGACTCAGAGCCTCATCAAACAAGGTGAGGGAGTTCTTGAACCCTTGGGGTAGTCGGGTCCAGGTCAGTTGGCCCGAGTCCCCTTCCTCAGGGTCTGTCCACTCAAAAGCAAATAGCAACTGGCTCTGAGGGTTCAAAGGAAGGCAGAAAAAGGCATCCTTCAGGTCCAGGACACTGTACCACGTACGATCTGGTGGTAAAAGGCTTAAGAGAGTGTACGGGTTAGGCACGGTGGGATGGATGGTTTCCACCCTCTTATTTACTTCTCTTAAGTCCTGAACCATCCTGTACTCTCCTGTGCCCTGCTTCTTGACGGGCAGGAGAGGAGTAATCCAGGGGGACTGTACTGGCACAAGTATCCCTGCTGCTTTAAACTTCTGGATGTTTTTCTTCACCCCTCTCTCCTTGCTTCCAGGGACATGGGGTATTGTTTAACCCTCACTGGCTGGGCGGTGCTGATAAGCTGGACCTGAATGGGGGGCTGGCCCTTGGCAACCCGGGGGGGGGGGGGGGAGGGAGGGTTCGTCTCTGCCCAGACCTCTGGTATTTCTTTTTGCCATCGGGCTAAGAGGTTTCTCCCCCAGGGGGCTTCTTCCTCAAATAGAAGGTATTCCTCCTCTGCAGGAACAGTAATTAGGAGTTTGTCCCCGTTCAACTCCACCTGAGGCTCGTTCCTCTCATCAAAGGTGATGGTGGCCCTTAATTTGTGGAGGTCTCTTCCAAGAAGGGGGTCCGGGCACTCTGGTATTACAAGGAAGGGATGGGTTACTAGGCCCTTTCCCAAGTCCATAATTCTTCCCTCCAACAAGGGATAACTCTTGGTAGTGCCGGTAGCCCCCACTACCCGCACTCTCTTGGAAGTGTAGGGGCCCGCTGGGGCCTGTACTACAGAATGCGTGGCCCCGGTATCCACAAGAAAGTCAATGTGTTGCCCTCCTACCGAGAGTTTTAGCCTGGGCTCCCGGAGGGCGGAGGGGCCCCGAGACCCCTAGTCCACCTCCTCCACTAGGACAGGGACAGGGCCTTTGGTCTTCTTTTCCTTTAGCTGGAGGCAGTCTTTCTTCCAATGTCCTTCTTCCTTGCAATAGGCACATTGGTTCTTGCCTAACGATTTCTGCCCGTTGCCCTTGCCTTTTCTAGGCCCCCTTTTCCGGTCCTTGCCTTCTTTGGCAAGGAGGACCTTGGCCATTTTCTGAGTTAACTCTTGGGTAGTTTTTACTGGGTCTTCCCTCTGATCATATACCTTCTGGGCTATGGCCACCAACTCAGAGAGAGACTTGCCCTGGAAGCCATCTAACTTCTGTAACTTCTTCCTAACATCTGGTGCTGACTGGGAAACAAACTGGAGTACCACAGCAGGTTGGTTCTCCAGAGCCCGAGGGTCAATGGGCGTCCAGGTCCGGTAGGCCTGGAGAAGCCTCTCAAGATAGGCCGTCGGGCTCTCATCAGGGCCCTGCCGTATGTCAGTTACTTTAGTAAGATTCGTGGGCTTGCGAGCTGCTGCCCGGAGCCCCCTCAAGAAAACCTGGCGATGCTGGTGGAGAGCTTCCTCCCCTCCCCGGGTATTTAGATCCCACGTGGGCCTGTTTGAGGGAAATTGTCTCTCAATTTCCAGTTCACTTGCGGTGACCTCCTCCCTCTGGTCCCGCACCTGTTTTCTAGCTTCAGCTCGAATTCTCTCTCTCTCCTCCGTGGTGAAAAGGGTACGGAGGAGTTGTTGGCAATCATCCCAAGTGGGCTGATGCGTATAAAACACGGATTCCAGAAGGGTGATAACTTCCTCTGGAGCCTCAGAGAAGGATGGATTCTGATTTTTCCAGTTATAGAGGTCTGAGGTGGTGAAGGGCACATAGGTACGAATTGGCCGCCCTATCTGGTCTCTTTCACCAGTCTCCCTCAGTGGGAACATTCCCATGGGAGGTTCAGGAGCCCCGAACCCTACCCCACTCCGCGTGTGGTGGGGACTGCTGACAGTGGAATCGGGGCTCTCTCTCTCTCCCCGCGGGGCCTCCCGGGGAGGGGCTGTTGGGACTGAAGGCGCCCGATATGGCAGGGGGTTCTCACCCCTTCTGACCCGCAGGGGACTCTCAGGAGGCGCCTGGAGAACCGGGACTTTCTTTCTTCCACCAGCTCCCTCTGCCAAAAGCACCCGGGCAGTCTCTCTCCTCCCTCTTTCCCTTCGGCAACCACAGTTCTTCAGGTACGAGGGCTGATCCACAATGATGTCTATCCAGGTGTCTATGTAAGGGATCTGGTCAGGGTGCCCGGGGTTTCCATAGTACACTGTCCGGACTCTCGCTGCAATTGACATTTCAAATGTCCCTACATCTGGCCATCCAACACCAAAAGTGGGCCACTCTAACTCACAAAATTTTCTAAGATCATAGACATTCACTGTGACCCCGTAGCTCCCAGCTCTATTCTCGAAATCAGCAAAATTCTTCATCAAACACTCAAGAGGGCTCAAGGGGCCCTTCGAATTGTCCTGTCCCATCTTGGCCGTGAGGGAGAGGACAATTAGGATTCCAGTGACCAGAGACCCAATGAGGGTCAGGGGTCCCATGCAAGCGCAGTCGCGGGCGCAAAGGCAATCTTCACTGCCTTTCGGGGCCCCAGCAGGGGAAGAGCAGGTGTCCCCAAGGGGCCAACCGAGAGTTGCGGCGCAATTCACATGCAACAGCAATAATAACAACAAACAGCATTCCTAGAGGTACCACAACCAAACTTACCACAACATTCTCTCAGTTCCACCCACTCAAACATCAAGAAACCAAGACCGCAGGTAGGGCGTCCCCGACTCCGGCCAGATCCGAGAACTTCTGGCAGCGTCCCGCCGTTCTCAGATCCCAAGCACTCGCGAGCAACCAAGAACAAGAAACACAAGGAACAAATGAGGCCTCTACTTACCGGCGCCGTTCAAGTAGTCCGGACGACGAGAATGGGGTGTCTGTCCGTCTGGGGGTCTCGAATCTCGTTGGGGCCTCCAAATGTTGAATGGAGACGAGACCACTCAAGAGGCAGAGACCCCTACCCGGGAAATGACTCCAAGTAGCCAATTGTGGAGTCAGATAACAAACTTTATTGCAGATTCGAATCTGGGCTGCTGCCACGGCAAAGGCGCGGGCCAGGAGCAGCAGCAGCCATTACAAAGCAGTCTCCTTTTAAACACTCTTCAAAACAAGCACATTCCAAACAAGGGGGGTGGTGGTCCACAGGGCTGAAGCTGATTAACCCTGTGGTTGCATGCATCAGCCAGATGACCTAATCTCCCTTCTTGGCTTGCTCTGCTATCTTAGCCTTGACTAACCCAGACTGTTGACTTGGCCTTCAGCCTTGACTAACCCAGACTATCGATTTGGCCTTCAGGTCCGGGAAGGGGAAGGAGTAGCAACTTTCTTCCCTCCAGACAAGGTCAGTTATTTTCCACTCCTCAGTCATCAGAGGGGAAAAAGCATGAGTGAGGGTACAATGGCAAAGGAGTTCAAATACCAAGAGACTATCCTATTGGTATCGAGCACATACTGTAGTACGCTATGTTGTATTGTAAAGTTGTACAGTAAAAGTTAATATAATATCATTAACTACATTATCTCCCAATATTTAATAATGGAATAATTGTAAAAGAATTTTTGTCAGTCTTCCTCCTTCTTTTTTGAAAATAAGAGATACTCCTTTGTTTTCAAATAATGCCAACATAGTTCTGTTTACTGGCCTCTGTTCATTAGGATCATGGAAAGCCTCTGTTAAGACTGAGCAGTAGAAGGTGTACTTAGGGTGTCAGCCATCAGACAGTTACTGAGGAAGATGTCTATGAAAATAAGAGATAATCATTAAGAAAAAACAAACATCAAGTTCTAATTCCAGAGTCCATTCAAGACAATACTATCTAATAAAAGAGTAATATGCAAATTGACCATACCTCCACTATACCCACAAACTACACCTACCTTCCAATAAGAGCGAGTATGCAAATAAACCACACCTATCTTCCAATCAGAGAGAGTATGCAAATAAATCAAACCAAGATGGCTAAGCCACAGAGAGCAGGAGTGAGATTTGGGTTTCCCTGGCAATGGAGGAAGCCAAGCTTTCTGCCTGCCCTTGCAGGCCTAGGCCTCCACTCAATGCTACAAAGTTTTAATTATAGAAAGTAAACAAATTCCAACAGAAATGGCTCCACTCCAGGTTACAAAGTTTCATTTGTAGAAGATACATAAATCCCAGATACCAGGGCCTCCTCTTGGATTGCCAGGGGGCATGACTGGCCTGCAAACCTCCACAGGCCCCTTGCTCAGGCCACCCCACACCCCAAAGGAACTCTCATCCTGATCCAGGACACCCTTCAGGGCAAACCAGCTGGCCCCCACCCATGCACTAGGCCTCTAGCCTATCTAATAAAAGGGTAATATGCAGATTAACCATTACTCCAACACACAAGATACCTGCCCCCATGTGGTCAAAGATCCCCATGTAGACACAAGATGGCCACCATAAGATGGCCAGCAGAGGTGGGCAGTTGAGAGGGACCAGGTTTGCAAGGGAGGGCAGTTATGGGTGATCAGGCAAGCAGGGAGGAGCAGTTGGGAGGGACCAGGCCTGCAAGGGAGGGCAGTTGGGGGCAATCAAGCCTGCAGGGGAGGGCAGTTAGGGGTGACCAGGCTGGCAGAGTAAAGCTGGGGTTGACCTGGCCTGCAGGGAAGGAAGGGCAGTTGGGCACGACACAGGCCTGCAGGAAAGAGCAGATGGGGGTGACCAGGCCTGCAAGGGAGGGCTGATAGGGATGACCAGGCCTGCAGGGTCGGGCAGTTATTGGTGACCATGCCTGAAGGAGAGGGCAGTTGGGGCAAACAGGCTGGCAAGGGAGCAGGTAGGCATTAATCAGGCTGTCAGGGGAGAGGTTAGGGGGTGATCAGGCTGACAGGCAGAAGTGGTTAGGGGAAATCAGGAAGGCAGGCAGGCGAGCAGTTGGGAGCCAGCAGTCCTGGATTGTGAGAGGGATATCTCGGGCCTAAATGGGCAGTCGGATATCCCTCGAGGGGTCCCAGATTGGAGAGGGTGCAGGCTGGGCTGAAGGACACCTCCCCTCCCCCGTGCACAAATTTCATGCACCGGGCCCCTAGTTTCTAAATATTGGGCTACAGCATCACTAAATGGAGGACTGAGATTGTTGTGGGAATCAATGTGTTTTTAGGTTGTAGTTTCCATGTCTTTGGTGATGACATAGGCATCTTGAAAAGTTTCTGAATGGTCTGCAACAGCAAACATGGATGTTTTCCTTGATTTA